ACTTTGTTGTGATCTCATTTCTTGTCATATTTTAGAAACAATTAGAATGTGCTATAATATCTTAATAGTATATGGAGTTAGTAGTTTATATTTATTATACTTTAGATTCTTTAAAAGTAAAATAATAACAATAATAAAAGTGCTTTAAGAAATAATGGTGAGTGTATTATTTATATTTATTGGAATAACTATTAAAGAAATGTAAAATACTGCTAATGAAGATGTAATATCAAATGAAACTTTATTAAAAATTGAAATACTTGGTAGTATAATTCTAATTTTGACAATTATTTGTTTATCAATAAGTACATTATTACAGTTTATTAGATATGTATTCTTAATTTAGGATCTTATTAAAATTTATTAAAAAAATAGAAGAGAAAAGTAATTGAAGAAAGTAGAACTAGAAATTGTAATTAGTACAGATTTATAATAATAACTTAAATCATTGTAAAATTCAACTTATATTAAAGTTAGTTCATCTAGTATTTATCAAAAAAAGAGATTATTTAAAAACAACATCTGAAAAAAGAAAAATTATCATGTTTATTTCAAATATATTATACATATTTTGAATTATAAAATGTTTATATTTAGTAATTGATTATTCTATCATTTAATCTAGTATTACACTTATCTAATTAATTTAATATTTCCATATATAAATAAACAAAATAAAAATTTTTCATTTTATAATACAATTTTAACTTAAACATTCTTTAGCCAAGAAACTTTTTAATTTTTCCTCATTTTTTATTTATGATTTTTTTATATTGTTAGGATTATTTTATTATTTCTAAATTATTAATCTAGATTAAATAAGATTATGACCCTCTCTAAATTTATAATCTTAAGAGTTAACTTCAAAATTTTATTAAGATTTCAATCTGAATCTTCATATTTATTTTTAAAATTTTCTAAAAAATTAATTTTACTATTTTAATTTGATTTTAACTTCAATAAAAACAAATATTATTTATAATTAATAAAACTATTTTTAAAAACAAATGATGTATTAAAATTATAAATTTAAGGCTTATTCATAAATTTAATTGTCGCATCTCAGCATTCGCTAATGCTACTATAAAGAAAATAATTTATTGAAAAACTAAAATACATTTTAGATATTATTATTTGTAATTTATTTACTAATATTAAAAAACTATTAACCTTAAGATGGGCTATAAATTAATTTATTTATTCATTTTATTAGTCTTTTATCTTTTCAATCAGTCAGTCCTTACTTTTAAAAACTACCCAACGATTTATTTATAAATTTTAGCCAAAAATTAATTTATTGATTGTATTTGAATGTGATTTTGAGTATATTTGATAGTCAAGCTTTATTTCGAATTTATTAAATGTGTCAAATTAATTTAATTATTATAAAAGAAAATTAATCATTTAAATCTTTTTAATTTCCAAAGATGAATAGGTTTACTAAGATTTACTTTTGATTTAGAAAAATAGATTGCATGGAATCGCTGTATTTTCATAGATATAGTATGAAGATATTCATTAAATGTAATTTTAATAATTGACATTTCTTAAGGATCACTTTTTAGCTTTATCATAAGTACAGCTTTAATAATAAAATATAAAAATAATTTAAAATTTATTTATATTTAAATAAATAAACAAAAGTAAAATATCTAATGTAATGTAATCTTATTTCTTCTGAAGTAAAGTTTTTAGATAAATAAATTTTCTTTGATTGAAAAAAAATTAATTTGATATTTTGTCATCTTTCAACGAATACGTAATTAATTTATGATATTAAAAATATAAAAAATAGATAAATTAAATATTTTAAATATAAAATTTGATCACATTTAAAATAAATTTCTATTAAATAAAATAAAAAAAATAACTTAAAATATTTCTGTATTAGTGATAGAATAATTTATATATTCAGATTTAGAAAAAAGGATTGTTTATGAAATAAAAATATGATAATTAAAGTGAATTTAGTTTTTGAATTGCGTTAGGTTTGGCTTACATAATTTTGGAAATAAAATTAATAAGTATTATCCATTCCTTCTATTTGAGATTACAGAAATTTCAATTGATAGATTCAAATTAATTATTATTTGCTCTTAAACCCCATAAACTTAATATCAAATATTTAAAATATCTTTTTTTTGAGTATCTTTACAGAGATCTAAACTTAAAAAAGAAATCAAAGGGAAATCAAATATTTAGTTTTATTAATTTATACATCAAAATGCTTTTTTAGTTTTCATTATCAACTAAAAAAATGTAATTACTAGATATCTGTGTATCCATGAAATATAAATATTTTTATATTATTTAATTTGAAGTTTGCGACTTAATCATTTTATTAAATTTTTCTCATTTTATAAAAACATTATTATAACTAATTTTATTTAATTATTTACAAATTATAAAAATTCATACACAAAAGAAGTTAGTATTTTTTGCTTTTTTATTAAGAAGCAAATTTAAGTCATCTTGATGGAAATATTTATTTTTTTATTTTATCTTTCGCTGTACAAAAAGTAATTAATTTATGAATAAATCATTATTTTATTTTTATAATTAATATTTGAGATTAATTAAAAAATACAAACAAAACTTAACAAAGAAAAAAGATAAGAGAAAATTTATAAAAAAGCTAACTAAAATATGTTACTTTTTATCATTTTGATTTTAAATATTTCTCTAATTATTGGATTTCCCTGTACAGATCCTAATTGTGATTACTGTAATGAGAAAGGATGTCTATATTGTAATCCTTAGTATTTTTTAAATTCTACAAATTTATGTGAAAAATGTTTTGATCCTAATTGTGTAACCTGTAAGGGAAAAGGTTAGCATGATTGTTAATTTTGTGGTTATAAAAAGCCATATGTTAAAACTGATGATTATACTTGTACTGAATGTAAAATTGATGGATATTATGGTTCTTAAAATGCTTGTAATAAGTGCCTTCCTGGCTGCACAAAATGTGTAGGTTAACGCTATTGTTATTCATGTTAATCAGGTTATTATATGAAACACTATATGTGTGAGGAATGCAGTCCTGGCTGCAAAAATTGTGAAAGTGATAACTTTTGTTCTTAATGTTAATCTGGTTATTATATAGAAAACAATATTTGTAATGAATGCCTTCCTAATTGCCAAAATTGTAATAATAAAATCACTTGTGAATTATGTTAATCAGGTTACCATATTCATGAGTAAACAAACTAATGTGTTATTTGCTCATAATAATTAGGATATTATATTTCTGGAAAATATTGTAAGTAATGTAATGTAGCTTGTAAAGAATGCTCAGGACCTACTGATTTAGATTGTACTATATGTAACTAATTTTATTTCTAAATTGATACAACTACAAAGCGTTGCTAAACTTGTCCAAATAATGCATATTTAAACTCCTCTAAGTAAAATTGTTAACTATGTAATTATTAATGTTCTCTATGTGATAATATAGCTTTAAGTTATAGTATGCTTACTAAGGATTAAAGCTAATATTCCAATTAAAATTATTGCTTAGTATGCAGTTGTTAGTAATGCGAAAGTGGATACATATTATTTAATTAAAAATAATGTACACAGAGCTGTGAATCTATAGGTAGTAGCTATATTTATGATTCTTTAACAAACACTTGTACTTGTAAGCAAGGGTATAATTATCTTGTTAGAAATCCTTATAAAAATAATTTCGATTGCTCAAACGGTTAAGGCTATGGATACTTCTGTGATTCCCATAACATCTGCTTCTAGTGCAGCTAAAACTGTAGTTCTTGTACCGATATTCAAACCATGCATAA